TTTTATTTTTAAATAGAAAAGCAGGATAAATCCTATCTACTCCTGTGGCTTGGCTTTCAGCTTCCTTCTTAAAACCCCAAGGCCATACCTGAGGTTGAAGGCAGAACTTCCTCCTCTTGAGGATTCGTATTCCAGTTTCAAACTACTTCATGAACCTAGACCATGTATCTTGCAGGGGACTTTGCAGTAGGAACTCTACACTGATTCTCACCAACAGTTAAAATTCCACCACCAGAGAAGTGCTATGAATGGCGCTATGGACCAACATAGGAACAACGGGGTGTTGGTAGTTCTGTCTGCAAGCACAAAGATCATTTTTCTTAAAATGATACAAGTAGGCTCTGCCCAGGAGGGAGTTCCAGTCTGGCAGATCAAAACTGGTAACCTAGGAAATGAACTCCCTAGAAAGATGGAGTCAGGCAGGGGTTGAAAGTGTTGAAACCCACAAATAAGGCACAGGTCTCATTGTGGGCGGTGGACAATGCTCTGTCCATCCTTGAAAACCTCTCAATGAGACAAAGTGTTCAAGAGGTAAATATTATCTAGCCTGATGCAATGAGAAAAATCCAGAAAGGACCTGTTTGTGCCTTCCACACCTTTTCACCCTTGACCCTGGGCCAGGATCCTTACAGGTAAGCAGAAGGAAGAGACAAGCCCAGTGTGACACACATACTCTTTTCTTCCTCTCCATCATGGTATATATTAAAATTCAGTGGAAAATTCCTTACCCCTTCCAAATGGGGATAAGAATAATACCTTTCTTGCCATGTGGATCAAGAAATATGTGAGTGTTTGTACATATTATTACTGCCATAGAAAGCAGTCCTAGGGTGTTAAGCAATACTGATTAACCTCATTTCCAGAAGTATGTACACTGCTCTGTCTATATAAGAAAAAGTTCTAAAAAGGGCCTCTAGCATTTAACTTTCTCAGGTTGATTTCCTGAATTGGAGCTCATGTCCAGTTAATCTGTGACAACTACTCTCCCAACCAGAAAAGGGGTCATGTCACCTTCCCCATCAAGCCGGGAACCTTGCCTCCAAGTTAATTATATTCACTTTCCTGCCTTCTTTGCCTACTCCTTCTTCCCTCTTATTCATTCATCTCTTTCTGTGTCCTCTAGCATTTGGCTACCAGCAATTGGTAGAATTCTCCAAACTCATCCCATCCTGCCTGTCCCAAACACCTGGCATAGGACTGCCTCCGTCTGGGGCTCTAGAATCCCATCATGGGAAAACAAGGTTTGGATGGCTCCCCAGCCTGGCTACCTCTAACTGAGGGGTTACAGCAGATGGATTCCTCTCTGTGGCTGATTATTTTCCATGGCCCTTGGCCATGTGACCTCGGACCATGATCTTGTCAGTTCTCATAAACTAACTAGGACTGGTCTGAGTCACATGCAGAGAGGAAACCTCTGGGGGAAACTGCAGAGGCTGTGGGAAGAAGGGGGACAATCTGGGACCCCAAGGCCATGGGAGCCTCATCCCTTGCCTCCCCGGCCTCTGAACACCTTTGACCTTACATGAAGGGAAGAAGAGTCAGGGACATGAGAAGGACTACTCATAGGCTGGGTTGCAGGAGGGTTATCTTTTGAATAAGATTTGGAGACTCAGCTCAAGAATCTGACTGTCCCCATGATCACCAACTTGGAGAGGATGACTACCTGGGCCATGCAGGTAACTCTTGGCTATTGACACTCAAGTCCCTATTCTTAGGAGTCCCAATATATCACAATCAGATCCATGAGCTAGCCTCAGACTCACATGCACACAAGTACCCCCACATGTACTGTGGGGTGGTCCAGATGACCTCCAGGAGGTCAGGTTAGGACTATGGTTGAGAATGCTGGAGAAAGTCACTTGCAGCCCATGATACCATGTTGATAGTGAAGATGCTCTGGACATACTAAGAGAAATGTTCACATTATGCCTGAGGAGAGCACAGATGATCACTGAAAATGAGGTGCCAGTGAGATCTTCTTACTCGCCAATATCCTGAAATTGGGTGTTACATAAACAAAACCCTGAGTGTATTTGCCTACATCTCTTGACTTTAAATAATCTTTGAATTTCAAAGTTATGTGTCTCTGTAGCTTTGGGTCATGTGTTACTTCGAGTTCTCTGACAAGTTAATGTACAGTTAGAGAGGATAGATCTGAATAAAATATGCACACATAAACAAATCCCTATGTCTATGTTTTAATTACATTCTGGGCACTCGTTACATGAAATCCTAGGGAGCAGAGTATATGTACGTGTATCCATGAGTGCAGCACATATATTTATGCAGACATAAAAACACGGGACGCAGCGTGCTATTTTAAGAGTCTGAACTCTAGCTTTCAACAAAGTTTAGCTGCTATCCTTTTGCAAATGCATTTAATTTTATCTGGAAACTTTTTGACGTTAGAAATAGAACAACTGTAGTTTCTCATTATGTTTGCTGCCAGAATCCATGCTTGGTTGCTCAACTAAAGACCTTATATTGCTAATTACTACCACATGCCCATATCCCAAGCGAAAGAAAACTTATTGATTCTGACAGCCCATTCTCTCAACACTGAATTCCAAATGAAAACTCAAATTTTGGCCAAACATAACATTTCATCAATCTTGTTCTACTGACTGGAAAAACAACCTCAAACAAAGGGCGCTAATGGCCCTCTATTACCGTTCCTTCCCCAAGCTTATATTTTCTGATGAAAGATCTAAGTGACCAAAGGGCTTCTTTAAACTACTTAGTAATTAGCTTTTGAACCAGGAAACAATGCGTAAAGTAAAAGGAACAGTCCCGGTGCTGATGACAAGACCTATTCTCTGTCCATAAGGTCGGGAGACAATGGAGACCCAAAAAGCACATTAAAAGCAAAGGGTGTGTGTTCATAAAAAGAGGAGGAAAAAAAGAAAGAGGGAGAAACAAACTAAAAAGGGGGGGATAAATGGAGCCAGAACAAAAGCGGCGGGTTGCCTATGATGTGAAGGCATCAGCATGTAGAGACTGGAGTAGAAGCACCAGAGCAGACCAGGGCGGGTGAGTGAGCGCTGCTCTGCGGACCTCATCTGGTTCACTGTCAAGCAAAACTGCCAGGCACACCCACATTTCACTAGAGAAACTATTTTGGGAAAAATAATTTTACCTGGACAGTCAAGAAATATTTTCAACATAGACTTCAGGACAATTGATTTGCTAAGGAAATGCGGGCCAACACAGTGGGGTGAGGAGACCATAAAGACAGCCCCAGCCTCGGCATGCCTTCTGCTTACAGCGGCCTGTCCACTTCTTAAGGGCAAGACAGATAGAGAAGCTGTTTTCCTCTTGGCATGGAATACACGACCAATGGGAATCTCTGGACTTATTTGGCCTTTTGGATTCAACCAATGGCCCAGAAATCAGAACAGCTTGGTTCTAATCTCATTCAGGGCTGTTAAGATAATAGGAAGAGGATGGATCCATTAGCAGGAAGGTGGAGGAATGTGCTGCCTTCACGGAAAAGATGCCAACTGGCCTCCTCTCACCCACTGTCCTTTGTTCCTTTGAACCGAAACTGGTGCCCTGTGGGTAGTTCAAGAAAATGAACCCTTTTTTCCACCTCCTCATTTTCTGAATGGAAGACTGGACACCTGAGCTCAGGACGCAGTGGAATGGCCAGCAGGAGAGGCATTCGCTCCGACCAACGTGGCCAACTGTCAGACAGGGAGGAGGCCGTGGGGGGAAAGATGATGTTACTAGCTTTATTTTCTCTAAAAACAAAATTGGCCATTCAAGATTTCATTGGAAAACCAATGGGAAAAATAAACCAAGTCTATGACTAAGAAAGTGCATGATGGTAAAAATAGTCCGTTTGTCAGTCTGGGTGACAAATACTGGCATGCATCTAGCTATAAATTCCTTAGTTGTATATTAAAAATGTGTACATCTTACTCTGTGGAAATGACACCTCCAAAGCAAAAACAAAGCTGAATGCCCCCAAAAAGCTTTAAAAAAAATAGTAAGGAATGTTTGCAGCCTACCCAGCTTCCCCACAACATTCTCCACTCAAGATGATGCTGGGGTATGGTGGGGAGGCTATGGTGGGGAGGCCCCTGCATGTACCTAGCAACAAACGTATTCATTGATAATGAGTCTATATATTAATATTGATATTGATCAAGTGATCTTAACACAAATTGAAATCGCTCCCAAGAAGGAAGCATTCATGTATGGGGAGCAAATAAAAGACTCATCAGGAGGAGCAGGCAGTGCAGGAACAAACCTCAAACACAACAGTTCTTGCTCAGAAGGGATTCCAACTGAGTAGTGAGTCTCTGTGAGGACAAACATGGTACCTCCTAACTAGAGAGAGCTGGCAACATGTGCCCACAATGCCTTACAGCAGGCAAGGTGACCTTGAGCTTGCCCTGCCTAGAGCTTCCTGACTGGAGCACGATCCCATGTTATTACTGCACAAGACCCGCACAGGATGGCATCACATGATCTGAGAGAGTAGAACGTTGATCACTAAGCCAGGTGGTGTGAAGGATGAAGTTAGGTTTACTTGTAAGGAATCAGAATAGAAAGCGTAGTTCTTCCCTTCCAGGATGAACCCACTGCGTCCCCTAGAAAGCCGGGTGGGCATGAAACTGGATGGAGACAGGGCTGGTAGTTGTGTGATAGCTTTCTGGGTAACCTCTGGTTGAATCACTGCCCACATAGAACATGGCCCTTCCCTCACAGCAGCCCCTGGGTGGGGTGGGAGAGGATCCAGGTGTCACCGCCATAGGGACCTCTGAAAGTCACTTAACCACATCTTTTCTGATGCAACTGACTTACTTTCTGCCTCCATGTTTGTTAAAAGTCCCGCCGAATTTATTCCGACTCAGGATGAGAGCAGCGATTTCTGGCACGTAGCGGGCAAACATTGCCTACATGCATGAAACAAAGAAACAAGAGCCAAAAAAAAAAATGGCATGCAGAGAGGATTCTCCCGTAGTGGAGGCAGCAAAACCTCTGGGCATACTTACTTTCTTCCACTAACCGCACTATAGGAGCCCCCGTATTTCTTGCGGTTTCCTATTAACTCTATGATTTCAGGGACGTAGCTGGCAAACATGGCCTGAGGAGGAGATAGGAGACAGAAGAGAGACTAAAAAGACAGGCCAAAGAAAGGGGTGACCTTTTCAGAAGGGGGGATACTAAGATCTGAAAACACAAAAGGAATAGAACCTTCGAATATTCATATTTTGGATTATTTTTAAAAAAATCAAAGCACAAAAAAGGGCAAGCTCCTGAAATTCACAGGACAATGCAAACATTAGTCAACCTAGCTAGCTAAAAAAAAAAAAAAAGAAAGAAAGAAAGAAAGAAAATCACAGTCAAGATAAAAACAAGGAGACAAGAATAAATAAGCTGACGTCTACCTCTTCTACCTGAAGAAAAATAAGGAAAGGGGTATAGGCAGGTGAAGTTGCACACACACACACATACACACACACACACACTCACAGATGCACAAACACACATATGCATACACACATGTGACTGGGAGATGACCTTTCTTTCTAATCAAAATTTAAAGGAGACTCAAGGTCTTTATAATTGATTAAAGGCAATCATCGGAAGACAGTTTCAAAAATATAAACGTTTTCATTCAAAAAAATCACTAAAAAGCACATAAGGTAAACTGAGGGAATCACAATGGAGGAAAGAAAAGAAAGGAGAAACACAAACCTGCCATGTTTTGTCCAACAAACATCGTGCTGTGGCTGGATAATCAGGGCTCCTCACCTACTGGGACTCGGGGAGACCATGGAGCCCCTTGGTTCATGTACACCCGTACAGGTGCATTTACATACATTTTAAAAATGTATATGTCATATGCATACAAAACAGACAGGTGTGTATGCATACTACAAATGCATGGGCGGCGTACATAGGCGAATGCTGTGTGTGAACTACAATTTGAATTGCTTACCTTACACTCTGCAAAAATCTAAATAATGTAGAGCTCCTTGAACAGACAGAATGCAATGACCCCCGCACCATGTGTTGCCAGACATTCCCGTAGAAAACCACATCATAACTGACCATCGTGATTTTCATGGATCAGAGCATCAAACAGTAAGACTTTGTGATTTACTAAGGGGGGCACCACCCCACATGCTGCTGCATGATGGGGTTAGTGGGTTCATGTGGAGTCCATGTCTGATGAGGGGGCCCTACGCTTTAGGGCAGGTCCCAGCCACAGTGTTTGTTGGAAGATTGGGGAAAACTGTGAAGGAACCCGGGACGCTCTTGAAACCGCAAGATGTCTCTGGAGTAAATTGAGAGCACCTCCCAGGTCAGGGGGCCGCACCTCACAGGGTGGCAGGTGCTGAGTGACATGGCCAAGAGGCAGACGCTCTCACTTAGTAAGTGGGCATCACTTTCTTAGGACAGTGAGGTTTGCTCCTGGCAAAATGGCTGTCCCTGTCCAGGGCAAAGTGCCACTGTCTATAGACAACACATTGAACACACCAAAGAAATATACAGAAAAACCATCACCACATTTGTATTCGCTTAGCCTGATTCTGACACTAAGGCAGTCACTGGCTTCTAACACATAAATAGTGTCAAAAACAAAATAGTGGATAACAGTAAATATGAATGACCATAAAAATCAACACTATAATAAAGAATTTTTTACCAGTCCCCCGAGGATGAAGAAGACCATGAAGAGGCGCCCAAGTGTGGTTTTTGCATAAACGTCCCCATAACCAACAGTGGACATGGTGACCATGAGCAAGTAGACACATTCCCAGTACGTTAGAGCCTGGTTGTTCTGGAAGTTTTCCCATGGATCCCCTGAATTCTCCACCTAGAGCAAGAGGTCCGGGGAGAAAAAGAAAAAGCGTCATACAGATATAAGAATCTGGGAAACACGCAGCCGCCAGGGGACTGCTCGTGGAGGCCGGGTCTTTCACCGGCTGCCCTGCCTGGGTCTACGAGTAATGACTCAGGACCCTGGGCAGGTCAGCGAGGAGGGGGAGATGTGCCATGGCACCCCCTGGCTGGCTGGGGCAGAGGGAAAGAAACAGAAGAAAATGGCCCTCGCTGGCTTTTTTTCTCATTGCTAAAGATTTGAAACCGCTGAACTTCAGGGCATCACCTCTGGCCACGTTTTACAGCTTTCTCCTCAAGGAAAGAGCCAGAGAAGCCTGCCCTGGCCTTTCTCTGTGCGCTCTGGCTCTGCCTCAGAGGACCTGGCACAGGCGCTCCCAAAGGAATCCTAGACAGTCCCAGAGAGAGGCTCTTTCTCCATCATTCTGACCAAGGAGAGGCCTGGTGGGCCTGTCCCTTTGGATCTTACACCTGAACACAAACGGCATCCCCGCAGAGTCTGACTGTGGAAGGCCAGCAATGGCTCTGCCCCACAGAGAGCAGGCATGTCCCTGGGAGCAGGAGAAGCCAGCATGGAGCGACAATCTGTGCTTATGCTTTAGGTGAAGGGCAGCAAGCTTTCTCTGCAAAGGGTCAAAGAGCAAATGCATTCAGCTTTGCAGACCACACAGTTTCCAATCTCTGTTGCAAATCAACCCTGCTTCATAGCATGAAATCAGCCAGAGGTGACAGTTACACATGGGGGGAAGGTGGGCCTTGGAGGGCCTCACCCCATGTTTTGCCCATGTCTGCTTCAGCTTCACCAGACACTTTTCTTAGCCCGGACACATTTGAGCTGCTGACCAAACTGGGAGGTAGGCAGTAGAGAAATACTTAAGAGAGACTCGGGAGAGATGGGGGCTGGATCTCCAGCCAGTTCTGCTCTGCATCCCACCCCCATGACACCAGTGGCTGGCAGTGCCTGTAGGGGGCCATGTGTCCCCAGCTCAGCCTCTGAAGAAAGTTCCGGGACCTGGCCTCTCACAGCGCAACCTCCTCCCCAGCGTGCCAATTTCATGGAGGCCTCCCAGTGAAGCACAAGCACTTCACAAATATTAAGGTGGGATCATTGGGCCCAACGAAGAGAAGTAACCCCTCCATGCCTGTGAATTTGGCACCTAGGAGGATTGGGGTGATTATCAAGGGGGTGATGAAGGACAGCATTTCCATCAGCATAAAGGAAGGGGTGGGGAACCATCAGATCTAGTGGCTGGGAGTGCCCCTCCTCCTGTGCCTTGCTGCTTTCCATCCCTGGCTTCTTATTTGTATGATAACATCCTTAATTCCAAGTGGCAGGGAAGTAAGAGCTTCTCTCCATGTCTTATGGCAGACTCAGCAAAGGAAGGGCACCTTCAGTCTCAGAGTCAGATGTGGCTCCTTCCTGTTGTAACATTTTGTGTCTGAATGAAACACACTCCCCACAATAGTTGTGCTCCCTAAAGGGGAGCTCCCAGTCTGCCTGGGAGAGGTGGAGAACAGCTTGACTTAATAATCCAAGGCTTTCAAAGAGTCATCAATTTAAAAGAATTAACATTTTTGAGATATGAAGTAACTTGACAAGTAATCAGGCAAAGGAATTAAATGTAGCTTTTTGTAAGGGGGAAATGGAGAGAAATTGAGGGATCTGAATTTGTTGTTTACTAAGAGATGTGGGTCAAAGGTCCAACCTTGTTTTCAGACATTTTCAGGCATTTGCTGAGGAAGCACTGCCATCTTGTGGCTCCTTGGGGTTATAGCAGAGAGAATGGAAAAAAATCTAAAGCTCCTACAGGAACACCTGTGAGCTGGAAAATGCAGGTTAATAATGTGACTATTACTCACTATTTGGAATTAGTTTAGGGTAAAAGGGTTGGAAACCCCCATATTTGTGCAGTTGCTTCTCATTTTCCTACATTTTACAGTGGGCTGAAGTTTCTCTCCGTAGAGTGAAATTTCAGGTAATAAAATGACTCAGAGAGGACTTGATCCAGAAGAGGCAGAGCTCAAGTGTCTTCAAGGATACTTACCAAATGGATGAACCCAGCTGCTGTGAGCCACGTGCTGATAAATATGGAGAGCAGGTTCACCAGCTTGATGGAATTACTGTGGGAAAGAAAGAAGGAGCAAAACCTCCATGTTACAAAAGAGGCCCCTGAAGGGTCTTCCTCCCAGAGTGACAGTGCCTCCTTGAGCCAACTCACCTCTAACACCCCAACGTTTTCAGCATCTTCAGGGAATACCAGGGGTCACATAAACTGGCCAGGCTACAGCCTCAGAGCTTAACGGACTGTGAACATGGGGTACCAAAAGTGGTCCCCAAATTGAACCCTCTAATATATTTTTAACATTTCTTTAACTTTTATTTTGAATCTCTTTTAAGGAGCAGTGAAAAGAAAATTCTTCACCTACTCTGGACAATTAACACAGTGTCCCAGTGCTTCTTGCTTTATCTCTATTCTTTCTCTCTCTCTTTTCCCCCTCTTCTCTTTCCCCCTCTCCTCACCTCCTTCCTCTCCTGCTTACCCCACCTTTGTCACTGAACAATTTACAAGTAAGTCATAGCCTCCCAGATACTCCAGAGTAGCCAGTGACACAGAGCATGACACAATCACAATTGTTTTGCCTATGAAAAACAACATAAATTCAATAACACCCTCTCATAGGCAGTCCATATTTAAATTTCTTGGGCCCCAAATTAGAGTTATTAATGTTTTTCCTTCTTTACCCTGATCCAGAAATGAATCAAGTTTCATATATTGTATTTGGTTATTATGTTGCTTCAATCAAGAGGTCAGGAAATTTTTTTTTCTCCAAAGGGGCAGATAATAATTTAGAGTTTGCAGGTCAGAATCTCTCTGTGGCAACTACTCAATTCTGCAGCAGTAGCATAAAAGCAGGAAGGAGTGTGGCTGTATTCTAATAAAACTTTATTTTTACAAAAACAGGAAATGGGCTGAAATGGCCCACGGGCTATAATGCAGTTTGCCAGTTCTCTCCTGTCATTTTTTGGTTTCCTTTTAACAACATTTAATTTTCTGTATACCCAGGACACTAGGCTAGTAGAATGTCCCATATTCTGGCTCTCTCCAATTTCTCCCCAAGAACAGATCCTCTTTAAATACTTCTGGGAAGAACACCTGCTGGGGATGTATCACATCAGGAAGTCCCAACCCAATTACACGAGGTCTAGTCACTTGGTTATGGCGAGAACACCAGATCTGGTTGCTGAGAGGCTCCTGTTTCCCTTTGTAATTAATAGGCCATTTGCAGAGTGAGAGTCAGGAACCACTTGAATATCCTGTTCCCTGACAACCGATACTGAATAATTTCCGCACCACTGGTGTTTCCTGAGCAGATCAACTGGAACTCACCACATTTTAAGTGCCCTGAAACACAGGGGTCTTGCCTGTCTGTATCCAGGGAGCAGGAGTCCCAGGCACATAGTAGGGCCACTATGACTACACACTGAATGAACTGCTCTCCTGCTCGGTGATCTTCCTATGAAACCTCACCCTGTGCAACTCCCCAGCCTGCTGCCATCAGCAGATCACTTCCCTACCCAAAGGCTCCCTGTAAACTAAAAATGTTCTATTCAAATGCCCTCCTTCCATCCTGTCACAGAAAGATCCCACCACTGGCCATCCCCAACTAGTTCACCAGTGGGCAGGCAAACAGAGCAAACACCTCCCTGCATCTAGCTGCTAAGTCCATTAAGGTGCGCACGAACATTGGAGAGTGAGAAACAGATGAGGAATACATGGCCAAGTGGGAGACGTCAGGGAAGCTTGTACTGTTCATTTTCTCAGAGGATATCAGAGTAGCAACTGGATTCACGCAGACTCCCAGATCCTTGCAGCCTCAACAAAATATGCCGCCAATAACTGCGTGAGCCCTCCTGAGATATTCAAACTATTGGAGTCTCTGAGCCTCTTGGTGCTTTGGAAAAATGGCCTAAATAGGGTGATTATTAATCTCTAAATGATTGTCATGGTGATATTAATAGTGCTTCAGGGAGCTCTTGCTGTGTGTAGAACATTTAATCATTGCTGCTGAAAGGGTCCATATTCCGCACTAAAATCTGATTATTTTTATGGCATCATTACAGATTTCCTAGTATTAGAAATTTGCTTTCCAAATTAAACTCTGCCGTCAGGCCATCATCTAAAAGCTCTGTGCAGACGATGCAAAATTAACTCTTGGTGCACTTTCTCCATAGTCTGAAAATCGCACCTCACCAGGTGGCCCTGGGCTCTGAGGAAGGAGGGAGAGGTAGCAGGGACAGGGTCATGTGCTTGCATCGCAAAAGCCACCAGGACAGTAACAGTCAAACCAAGGGGGCTGAGACCAACATAAAGCTTCCAGTGGCTACAGGATTGGCAGCATTTAGATTCTAGATCCTTCCCGTGCCTTGAGGGAAGGATGGTGTGTAATCTTATAAAAACTGAACTCATCTAAAGAAAACCATTCTCATGTTTTCCATGATCATTAATAGGTTTGCATCCCCTGAGCTGTCCTTGGCCGTGAAAGAAATGCACATTAGGGGGCCTCCCTGGTGGCCTAAGGGTTAAGTCTCAGGGCTACCACCCTAAGGCCTGAGCTTGATCCCAGCCAGTGAGGTGACCCACATATGGTGCAGCAGACCTCTCCTGTCTCACTGCTGCTCCCCTCAGCAGTGTATTTTAGTGGATCTGACTATTGTGTTCCTCACTCTGTCTCTGGTGAATCCTCTCACCCTCACCCCGCTGGCCTACACCCCAATTCTTCTATATAAAAATAAAAAAGAAAAAAAGAAAAAAATTAAAGAAAAAGAAATTCATATTAGTGGATAAAATGAAGGAGGCCTTTCTGTGGCTGTAGATAAGAGACCTTTCCCAGGATTCTGTAGCTACTGGGAGAGACTTTATCTCTTTTTGAGAGTATAGCTGTAAGCTTTGTCCCTGGTGTGCTGAATCAGACAAGTTTGGTAAATACAGAAAATGCCCCCCACTGTCCACAGAGAAGCACAGATGTCTCATTGTCCACATCTCCCTCTGTTTCTGGCTAAGCCAGGTGCCATTGTCTTATTTTTATTGTTGACTTTGCTGGATGGAGGTAAAATGACCACCCCTGAAAGTGGACTGGCCTGGACCACACTATGATGAATGGTTGAATCAATGGCACCAAGTCAAGGAAAATCAAGTTCTGTGAATTGTTTCCCTTCAATGTCTCTAGACCCCTCCTTCTCTTCTCAACCTGACCTGCGCTCCTAGATCCACTCCTGAACTCCTGCTCTTGGACAACAGCGACTGGCCTCATGGTCTATGGTCTACAAACCCACTCTCTATACCATGGGGGACGGGAAAAATGAAGCATCTTTCTAAAATGCAAATCTGACTACATTCCTCTCCTGCTCAAACCCTTCCAGAACTCTCTCTTGCTCTCGGCTCAAATCCATGACCTCAAAATGCCTTCATAATTTGGTCCCTGCCTGCACAAACCCTCCCTCCCAGCCTTCATAGCCAATGCTCTTTTTCAAGAATTTAACCTTGGAGCTACATCTAAGGCCACATAGATAGTACAGTGATTCTAGTTCCCCAAATTAAAAAATATATATAGTTTAAATAAATGATGGTGCATCCATGCCCTGGAATGCTATGATGTAAGAAGGCAGTTACGTCAACCACTGGTGTTGGGGAATCTTACTTTATCCTTTCAACCTTTATGTGTTGCTGGCATATTTACAATAAGCATAGTGCACTTTGATTATTAGAGGAAACATTAGGGAATTTTCTTTTTTTTTTTCCCAAAAATTACTGCGTGATCCACAATCCATGTTTTAACCATCACTATTTGCCGCATTAAATGAAATGTGGAATGAGAGCCTTTAAATAGAATCTTTACTTTGCCCTGACAATAAATTAAGTGTCCTATGGCCTAGGAGTGTGCTAGTTTGCAAGGCAATTCTGGGACTGCCAAAGCCTCAGTGACACAGAGTCTCCCAGTGCCCCCTTAGCAGACAGTTTTCAGGAGATGGAGCATTTTAGACCCTTTGCATGGGGAATGGCTGTTGCTCTGGGTTTTCTGACTGCCCTCTTAATCCATCCTTCCTCCTTTCTTCCTGTCTCTCTCTCTCTCTTTCTCTCTCTCTCTCTCCTTCCTTGTCTCTTTCTCCCTTCATTCTAAAAAAGATCTTTTATTCAAATGGCTTATCATTCTCCCAAATAAGAAGGAATTCACATGGAACAGAAAGAGGGTGAGAGCACAGCTCTCTCATGTCATTCTCCAGAGTAGTGACACCTTAAATGGTGGTGTCAAAGAATCAAAATGAGGCACAACAAAAGAAAAGAGAGACAGGCAACTAGCCCATGTAGAGCGTGTACAAGGCCCCATTAAAAAAAAGTGTCCCTTAAAGACAGCCCCAGTGCTTAGCATTGGCACCCATTGATGCTACCCCAAAATACAGTCCTGTGGACCAAAGACAATATAGGTAAACACTGGGGATTGCTGCTTGTTGATAATTTTAATCTTAAGACTAATATGAAGGGTCTCCCTGGTGGCACAGCGGGTTAGGCGGAGCACTGTGGAGCTGTCCGCAGCCTCTGCAGCGCGGGTTCAATTCCCGGCCAGCCAGGGAGATACCTATATGGCATGGCAGACCTCTCCTCTCTTGCCCACTATTCCCCTCAGCAGTGTCTTTGATCCATCTGTCTGTTCTGCTCCCTACTCTGTATCTGGTGAATCCACTCACCGTCCCACACCTCCTGCCTATACCCCAGTTCTTGTATAAATAAAAATAAATCTAAAAAAAAAAAAAGACTAATATGAGTCCATTGCAAAGAAAACCATAAATATGTAGAAATAAGGTTATTGTCACTCTGAGGAAATATGGGGAATGACAATATTCATCTTATATCAATAGCATTAAATACTATTAAATAGAGAACCAATAAATTCTGACTTCCAGATAAAGAAAGTACAGGCCAGGGTGTTGGGACATACTATAAGCATCTATGGTATTAGATGCTTATTTTCTTTTCTTTCCAAATTACATTTATTGTGGTAAAGTGAGCTGACATCTTTGTATCTGCAGAGAGTGAATTTACCTTACATCACAAAGACTTAGAATTAAATCAAACCAAAATAAACACACAAAAACCACTAAAACCCAAAGAGGAAAGTCAAGGCTAGAGGTATGTTGGACATGACAGGCCTGGAAAGGCAGGTCTTAGCCTTAGTCCCTGGGGAAATGGTGCTGAACCCTAGTCTCCTACCCTCACCCCAATGCAAGTGTATTAATTAAAAATCACAAAGCACAGAGGTGTCCTGTTTTTAATCATTTATCCAACATGTGAAGACCAAAGAGGAAGTGGAACATTAGGAGTGGGCTTCTTAAAGTGTAATTTCCTATAAAAGAAATTTATGGCCTGTACTAGCTCTACATTGTAGTGCGTCTAAGCTCTTTTATTAGTTTATTCATCAAGGCAGCCCTAAGTGGAGGCCAGCTCTGTGAACTACAGGTCATCAGAAGAGAAATCTCAGGGAGATTTTTCCTCCTGGCCCAGTCGCGTTTTCCAGATCATAAAACAGTTAACAGAAGTAGTCCTGGAGCATTGGAGGGAGATTTTTAGATATTCCCCGAAAGGCAATTCACAGAGCAAGCCCCAGGGGCTACACTGCTTATAAAGTGAGCATCTAAAATGTACTTTGAAATGAAATGATTTCTGTTTGCCGCGTGAGGTTTGTGATTGCCTCTCAAAGAGACCTGCTTCTATTGCCTTTATGGCCGGGTTCAATTTCTTATTTAGTGATGTAATAAATGCACCATTTAGAACCTGGAAGCAAGGACTTCCCAATCAATGAGCAGATCCTTCTCTCATCCCTGTGCATCTCTTCCCGTGAAGGCTGAGCTTATTTCCCATAACCCAGCAAGGTCCCCGCAAGCTGTCTACTGCCCCACCTGCACAGCTGTGTCTCCTGGCCAGCTAGTCTCCAGCCTTGCCTACCCTACGCTTCTTCCAGATCTCTGTGATAGATCACTCTGTGAATAACAGGACTCTAAACTTTATTGTGGCAAAAGCAAACACACCTGATATTTACAACTTGGCAGTGGGGACAGGAAGGAAGAAAAAAATACGAGAACAAACATCTTACCTTGTTTTAAGGATATTCAGAAACTGCAAAATTTCTGAAAACTGTATCAGTCTGAGAGCTCTTAAAAATCTCAAACCTGGAAGAGAAGTGAAACAGAAACACATTACTTCCAACACGTGGTTTCAGTGCTCCCCCTCTGTCACTTGACTATAGCTGCCAGGGTGGAAGGGAGACGGACGGGTCCATGCCAATGATTGAACCACTGGGTACCTTGGACACTGTCCTCCATTCTGATTCTTAACTGGTTTAATCTCAGCCAGTAATCTGACTTTCATTAAGGGGGGGGTCTCTCTGGAAGCCCCTGTAGAGGAAATTTCAGTCAAAGAGCCCAGCTTAATGAGGATGCTTATTTGCCCTTCTCTGACTGAGGCCATTTTCTAAGTTACCCAGTCATCTGACTTTGATTTTGTCTCTAAAAAATACTGGAAATAGCTCAGGGTAACCTTTGTGCTAAGAGAAAATCAAGAACAAGTCAGATGACCTTATGTCTTTGCTGGATTTTGTTTTTAATTTTTACCTTTAGTCCTTATAAAATGAAGAGTTAGCCCACAATGTTATCTGTTTTCTACAAGGTTTTACATTTTTCTCCCAATCAAAAAAAAAAATCAGATCAGTAAGATATCACACCCCATAACTTCAGGATTCAAAATTTATATAATTCCACTTTTATTAGGTGCTAAGATAAATGTTTGTCCTTTCTAAATCAGCTACCTCTCTTGAATGGAAAAGAGCCAGTTTCTAGATGGCAGAAAAGAGAGGAGGAGGTGGAAGGAAGACACAAATAAGGGTTAAAGAAAATACAAATTATTTTTGTCTTAAGAACCCAAGGCAAAATATATTTCTGTTAATATTAAATTCATGAGTTAAGAACATTCTGAGTCAATCAGAGGGCTTTACTACTTGGTCATCAGGCAGGAGAATTGCTGACAAAATACTGATTATCAGAGCTTTGAGACACTTCCAATATTCTACCATCTCCCGAAGGCCTTTACTTTTGGATATTTTCAGAAAGTATTTTATTAAGTATCCCCAAGTGCCAAGCACTGTGCTAAAAAGCAAGGGTGGGCTAGGTTATTTGAACAGGCAGTTCAACAAGGGGCAAGACTTGATTCTATCTCCAAATATGAGGCCCTAAGGGGAGGATGATGTCCAATGCACGGAAGTGAGCAGAAGCAGTGGGGAGTCACTAGGGACCACAGGATGTATCAGACTGGATGTTCTCCCCTTAACAGCTTCTCTTGGGGGCTTCTCTTTGGGGCCAATGAGATTCCTCCTTGTTCAAGACAACAAGGAAAAACCAACTTAAAACCCATGAGAGGAAATCACATTGCATGAGAGGGGAAAAAAGAAAATTTCTCATCTGAAAAGGATTTACCTTCAGGAACAGGGTTTATATATATATATATATATATATATATATATATATATAACATCCATCTACTCTTCTAAATGATATTTATACTGCATTTATTAAACAAGATTGTGCACAGATGAGAAGGGATGTTCATGAAATGAAAAGGCTCAGGAGCCAAGATACAGTCCTAACCAAACTGATGAAAGGCTGACAGTGCTGCTGAAAGCCAGAGTTGATATAGAGTACAAAATCGAGAAGTAATCTCAGAAAGTGGAGAAAATAAGAAAAGGGAGAAAATAAGGTGAAATTTAAGAAAATAGAAATAGAGTGGAGATCACAGAGATCCAACCTATGAATCAAATGTGTTGCAAACGACTGTTCAAAAACATTGATGACAAGTATTGACCAGAACATAAAAGGAATGAATTTTCGAGATATGATAAAATTGAAAGGTGAAAAGAATGACCAGCTCTTGGATACCAGTGCTGAGAAGTATCTGATGTTTTCTCCTTCACTTATTTTCACTTATTAAAAATAAGTGAAAAAAAAATAATAAAGTGGCCAAGTGAGGACACTTTTATGCAACTCAATAATATTATATGACAGCAAGTGTTTAATGACAATTGGGCAATACTCAAAATAGTAGGACAAACAACCTGACAAGATTTTTATACCCAGCCATGTAGAGGTTCAATTGTAAAGGCAATACCAGCAACAACAACAACAACAACAACAAAAAAACTTCAAATGTTCAACTTCTTAGAAAATATATTATTTGTTCAAAACAGTTTCAAAGTTCACAAATCTTATTAAAACAGAATGGGGCAAGAGGCTGAAAAGTGTAGTTTTAACAAACACTACTATTGGTTCAAAACAAAAGTAGAATACAAATAATCCAAACTTTTATCTTGAAGTCATGTTATTTGCATCTGTCTTTTTGCTTGTTTGTTCGTAGCTTGCCACATTTTAAAGTGACTCACAAAACTATAATAAAATAAAAGTTTTTCTTTTAATTGAGATGGAAAAATAAAGGTAGGAAACATCAATGCAGCAGGCCACAAGGTCTTACACTCTCACTGGAGGTAAACAGCTGATCTAGCTCTGAGCATGCTCTCAATAAGATCACTAATATATAAAGGATACACACATACACACACACACACACACACACACTCACACCCCTGGTGTGAGTGTAATAATAATAATAATAACAGTGTACATATACTGTTATTATTGTTTTAAATAATTGGTGAATAATTGATGATGCTGACAGTGATATAAATCTATTATGATAGAGGTGCTCCCCTGGTGGCGCAGGTGGTTGAGCACCGCGCTGTGAAGCTCTCCGCAGCCTCTGCAGTGCCAGTTCTATCCCAGCCGGCGAGGGTCCCACATGGCATTGCAGACCTCTCCTGCCGTGCCCACTGCTCCCCTCAGCAGTGTATTTCATCAGTCTGCCTGTTCTGTTCCCCGCTCTGTCTCTGGTGAATCCTCTCACTTTCCCGTGCATCTGGCCTGTATCCCGGTTCTTGTATAAATAAATAAATAAATAAATAAATAAATAAATAAATAAATAAATAAATCTTTTTAAAAAATCTATTATGATAGATCTTCTATTATTTTTAATTTACTTCTTCTATGTGCCATAACCTTTAACTATATCTTATTTAATCCATACAACAGAAGTAAGGATCTAAGCATAAGCAGCCTAGATAGTGTTCCAGCACACAGTTTCAAAGCAACTGTGCAAGGTTTCAACTCAATTTGTCTAATTCCACAAAGCCCCCAATTTGTCACCACTGCCCTGGACAGACTTTGGCCGGTCAGTTCCAATTCCAAACACTGTGATCATCTGGCCAAACTCTCCTCACAGTTTGCACTTTGGTCCACAACCCCAAGGCAATTGTCATGAGGAAGGAATGGAGGGAGAAAGGAAAAGGAAGGGAGGGAGGGAAAGAAGGAAGGAGGAAAAGTAAGAATCCAAATTTGAAGGGCCCCAACCCCCAACAGGAGCTCATCACTCTTTCTTTGCTTTTGCTTTTCTTTGTTAATAGTTAATTATGTCTTCATTTACTTATTAATTTTATTTTTCTTCTTAAAAGTTCCTTATAGTGGTCTTTGCCAGATGACCTGTGTTCCTCTCACATTTATTTAGTTGAACTCTTACATAAATTAGGACATTAAATGGACTATATTATCTCACACAGTTTGTCATTCTTTTAATCTTCAATCTAAAATCTAAAATTTTGCCTCAGGTGTTTTTGCTTTCCCTTTGAACCCAAAAGTTTGTTTAATGGTCAGATATCTCAATTTTCCCATCACTGCTGCTCTTTTTCTTTAATATTCAAAATGGCCACCTCCAACATAAAAACAGGCCTTTTTAAAAGAAGCTACATTTTCTCTTTGTACTTTTAGGGCAGTGGTTCTGAACCTTGACTGCACATTTAATCACCTGGGAAGCATTAAGAATGATGGATATCTGGGTCTCACTTTTTCCCTATTCTGACTTAATGAGCCGAGTTCTGAGGTGATTCTAATGAGGCATCAAGGTTGAAAAGCATTAAAAACTTTTTTCTTTATTTTGAAAAGAGTTTATTTTTTAGATTCAGTCACAATTACCCAGCTCTGTTGAAAATGCTACATGCAAATGAATAAGCATGGGTGTGACAGTATTCCAGTTAAATTTTATTCAAATAAATAGGTCTGTTTTGCCAATTTTGTTTTGGAGGCCTGCCATTCAAATTATGTGAGTACAATCAGCTAGGATTTGTTAACATTCAGATTCTGACTCCGGGGATCTGACATGGGGCCTGAAATGCTGCATTTCCAACCAGCTCAAAGATGAGGTCAGTGTTCTTGGTGAGAGAACATAGTTTAAGAAAATCAGGCTGCAGTGATTCTCCCAGATTTGTCTGCCATTCCAATCACCTGAGAATTTAAAAATAAGACTGATGCCTATCTCCATCACCATTCTTATACAATTGGTCTAGGGTACAACCTGGGCATTGCAATTTTTTAAAAAAACTTCCCAAATGATTCCAATGTGCAGCCAAGTTGGGAAATAGTTAGAGTCATCTCCATGAAAACGAGAAGAACAATGAAGAGCATTGAACAGGCACCGTTTTCCCCTCACCCACTTATATGCAGCTGCCTTGGAGTAAAAGCCAGAGTGTGCCACAAACTGGACTTGCTAAGCAGGGAGCTACTGGGAACTAGGGACAGAGCTGACTGGCCAGGTAAAGCTATAACATGGAAAGCAGGTAGGCTCTGGGGCTCTTGTTTTTCCAGCTTTGCCTTGCATAGAGGGACTTGGGGAGGCTTGTAAGAGAGACATGAGCGAGAGACATGGGGAGGCTGATAATGGCAGCCGTTGTTTTGATGTGATATCCTCTTTTTGTCTCAGTTCTCTAAGACAGTACAAATAATGTACAAAAACATTTGCTGCCATCCCCCACCAGCAAGTGCTTTAGACTTCTGACAAGCTTTCAGGTTTCCATGGCCCCAATTCAGGCCCACCTGTTTGACTGGGCATTTGCTCATGAGGGGATAGGTAATTTGGGGAGTTTTACTGGGAAACTATTATTAGGAATATCCTTTCTTCTCTCACAATACACGCTGATTGTGTTAAAGATCTTTCACAGGAAAAGTGTGCTTCCCTTGCCTTTGTGTGCATGGGTGGCTGGATCCCAAGAGAACATGCACTTCTTAACAGTTTGGGGTCC